CCAACCACAGAGTGATGCAAGGATTTTAGCAGCTGGGAATTAACGCTGAAGGACCTCAGCCTCCTCAGGAGGTGGAGGCAGCTTTGGCCCTTCTTATACAGCATCTGTGTTGTTGGACCAGTTCAGTTTGCTGTTGAGGTGAACACCCAGGTACATCCACCACCTCGGTGTCTGCTCCCTGGATGTTCATGAGGGGGGGGGGGGGGGGGGGGGTTCTCTGGAAGTCAGTCACCATTTCCTCTGTCCCACTGGTGTTCGAGCGAAGGTGGCGCCAGTTATTATTTTACATTAATGGAGCAGAAAAAACAAATCTCGTTGGTTGACTATTAGTTACTGAAGTGCAAATAAAACGAAGTTCGAGCTTTTAACTTAACAGGAATATGCTCTAGAAATATTAAATGTGTAGGTTTACAACCACATTTGTCTAAGAGGAGAATCCGTGTTGGCCTCTGACTATTCCACGCTGGAACATCACGCATTCAGAGGACGTACATGTTTACTCTCTACAAAGACTCTGCATGTGTGAAACTCCATCAGTCTGTCCGTTTTCCCTCGCTTATCCGAGTTTGGGTCATGGCGGGACCTATCCTAGCAGAGAGCCGGTCTGGTTACGCACAGGCGGAGAGCCACATGAGGGGCAGGACTAACCAGCTCAAACACAACCAATCAGAAAAGAGGAGGACATGCTGACTTTTGGCGCTGTAGTGTTTGCAGCTGCAGTCCAAGATGGCGTCTAGTGCACACATTAATGATGAGTTGTCGTCTTTGTTGTGAAAACTTAACTTGAGAGCAAAGGAGTTTTAACCAATTCTGTAATAATATTCAAACGAGAACAAGACGGGGCAGTTTTCCACACACGCGCTGGCTTACCTCACCATCTATCTCCATCCACACACGTTTCACTGTGAAAGCTGCTCCGGCTTACGGATGCCAGGAAAATGGCACCGCCCTAGCTGAGAGAGGAGTCAGACAGGGTAAGGGGTGGTGCTGGCCTAGCCATCAGACAACATGCTGCAGCAGAGGAGCCGCCTGAAAGTTTCAGATACATTAAAGGCTTGGGAGACAATGATGGGGTACGGACCTCCGGCCGCAAACGCACCATCATTTATAAGCAGAACGACGTGGTTAGAATAGGAATGTGGTGTGAGCACAAAGCCACGAGAGAGGAGGGAGGGGGTTAGCACGCACGCACACACACACACACTCGCACACACACTCACTCACACACACACACACACGCACACACACACACACACTCGCACACACACTCACTCACACACACACACACACGCACTCACTCACTCACGCACACACACACACACTCACACACTCACTCACACACACACACACACACACACTCACGCACACACACACACACACACGCACTCACTCACTCACGCACACTCACTCACTCACTCACACACACACACTCACTCACTCACTCACTCACTCACTCACTCACACACACACTCACTCACTCACTCACGCACGCACTCACTCACTCACACACACACACACGCGTACACACACACACACACACACACACACACACACACACGCACACACACACGCACACCAACGTTTGTTTGTGAGCTGCTAATAAGATGAACTCATATTTGGTGTCTGTGTGGGCGTGGCATGACCGACCTGCTGTAACCCAAAGCTGCAGTGTTCAGTAACTGATTTGGTAATGTAACTGAATACTTAGGATGTAATATGTTAATGAGGACTTTTCCTTCTACACCCTAAACTTCCATCTGTTTGTTCGACACGGTCTGAAACAACTGGAAAACTCCGGTTTGTGGTTGTCCTCAATAATTCCAAACCTCTCCAACTAGTAATAGTAGTGATGTGTTGCTCTTATTCACTAATGCAACGATTCTTTTGCACATTTAAATCCCAACGAATGAAGAGAAAGTGTTGTGATTGGAGCACCTCCTTTCCAGCCAGCGGAGGCTGGATAATCTTACAGTGAAGCCCACACGGAGCTTTCTTCAGCTGAATGAAGATAAGACTGAGATCCTCATCTGTGCCCCAGACAAGCTGGTTCCCAAAGTCAGAGACTCTCTTGGTCAGCTTGCTTCTCACACCAAACCCTCTGTCAGGAATCTTGGTGTGACCTTTGACCCAGCTCTCACCCTGGATTCTCATGTCAGTTCTCTTGTTGGCTCTTCCTTCTTCCATCTCAGGAACGTTGCTAAGCTGAGTCCCATTCTGTCCCGCTCTGAACTTGAGACAGTTCTCCACACCTTCATCTCCTCACGCTTAGACTACTGTAACTCTCTTTTCACGTGTCTGAGCAGAACCTCCCTGAACCGTCTACAGGTGGTTCAGAACGCCTGTGCTCGGCTTCTGACCAAGTCCTCCAAACACACCCACATCACCCCGCTTCTCCTCCAGCTTCACTGGCTGCCAGTCAACTTCAGGGTTCATTTCAAGATCCTGGTTCTGGTCTATAGGGCCTTACATGGACAAGCACCATCTTACATTGGTGATCTTCTCAGTCCCTACACCCCCAGCAGGTCCCTGAGGTCCAGTGATCAAAGCCTACTGGTTGTGCAGCACCAGGCTAAAGGTCAAAGGTGACAGATCATCTGCTGCTGTGGCCCCCAGACTCTGCACCTCTCTCCCCCTGAGCCTGAGATCAGTGGACTCAGTGGTCTCCTTTAAACTCACCGTTCAGGCGTTGGTGGGACCTTCATCACCCTCTCTTTATTCTGCTCTCCCCACCTATTCCACCTTCCTCAGGATCCACTGATTTCCCTCTTTCCTGTTCACTCTCTCTCTTTCTTTACATTTTGTTTTGTAATCACATTTGTCTATTTTTTGCTCATTTTAAATATATTTTTAAACATTTTCTAAATTCTTTTTTATATTTTTACATTTTTAATTTTGTGAAGCGCCTCGTGGTTTTCATCTTGAGAGGCGCTATAGAAATGATGTTTTTCTTCTTCTTCACAGCCCTCCATCCTTCCCCGTTCCACGGAGGGAATGGACCAGGGGAAAGGAGAGGATAGGTAAACAGAGCCATTAGAGACGAATCTATTTCTGCAGAAAACAAAATCACATCATCAAACAAGAGAAAAAGAAAAATATGACCCTGCAGCCCTCCGGGCCTCGGCGTTCGGCCGGCTGTGGCATTTGTCTTTATCAGTCCGCCTTAAGGGAGCGAGAGAGCGGTGGGAAGATGTGAGAGTAAAGAGATTGAGAAAGACAGTGAAAACAAAGAGCTGTGCACTTTCTTTACTCATCACAGAGTCACACATATCTGTTGTTTTCTGACCTGATGAGACGTTAACCGTTTATATAACATATCATGTTCCTTTTTCCACACTCGTTTCCGCGGCGTTGGACGCCCGTGGGTCTCCAATGGTCATTCTTTAAATATAGCACAGCGGAGCAGTTTGTGAGCGGGGAGTCAGCCTCATCAGTCACGCCCGCCCTGGGGAGGCTTACGCAGCTTCATCAAAACGACTAGACTGACTTTCCAGATGTGATCCTTCCACTCTGACATTTTGTTGTTTATCCACTTTACAGGAGAAGGGCCAACACGCCGCTGCAGCAGCACCTAGCCTAGCGCCTCCGACGAGCTGTGTCCGTTTAGCCAACACCGCACCGACCTCCGAAGGACAACCGTTTAGTTTTAATGTTCATAATTTAAATGTGATCTTACTCACATGTTGTAGTTTTTGGTAAACTGGCTATCAAGCTGCTGTTTGGTCATCATACTTGTTTCTGTAGGTTTTTAATCTGTGTTGCAGAAGCAAACACTTTGATGTCATGGCGACGTGAAGGAGAATAAAGGAATAATGTGCAGAAATCCCACGGCCTTCCAGTCGAGCGTCTGAGACGTCGGGTGATGCACCGGCTCTGTGCCGTCATTAGGATTCATTGTCAGGGAACTGCAAATGTCATGGCAGTCCATAATAGCTCCTGGCCAAATGATCGCCATCCCCGAACGTCCTGCCTTTCCTTTTCTCACCGTTTTGAATCAGGAGTCTGTTCTTTGTAGCTGGACGGACCGGATTAGAGAGCGGGAGATCCATTTAGTCTGGATTGTAAGGCAGTCTGTCCTCTCATAGCCGACGCCCGCTCCTTACAAATGCTTTATCATTATGTCTCCAGTGCCATTCGTTTTTCAGACATTTGCCCATCCTGCCCAGAGTGAGCTCGCTGAAGCAGGACTGCATGTGCCTGACTCGCAGCTATTTAGCAGCTCTGCTTTTTCTCCCTTTCTTCCCCGTCTATTCAGTCTGAATCCCCCTGGGAAATTTGGCCGTGTCTGATATCTCTCTCTCCCTTTTTGTCCAGCTGACCAAGTTTTATTTGCCCTCATCAGTTGGCAGTGTGCCAGGATCCGTTAACTAACTTGGGCAGTTAATTGTCTGCAGAGTAATTTGAATGTATTAACGTGATGCTGAGTGTTGTGCTAACGCTGGACGGCTCAAACACATCTGGAGCCATGTGACCAGAAAGCATCAACGCTTTACGCCTTTGGCCTTCAGAAAGCCTTTTGGGGATATCACCAATCTGGAGAATGTTAAAGCAAAACCACGAGAGCATCTGACGTGTGAGGGGTGTGGAGCAGAAGGCACGGGCTTGTGGTTGTGCCAACATCCTGTGAACACCGTGCCAGTGCTTTCTGAGTGGAATGACGACACAGTCCTGCTTGTGCGACTGTTCAGCTGCCGGCCATCTGGGCACGGTCGAAGGGCTCTAAAGTCCTAATTGGACACGAGTAACGAACCTCCGACTGTGTTCGCATTAAACAAAGGTACACGCTAACGTGTGTTTTCTCTTGTTGTTCTCGCGTGCCCCAGAGCAGCGCCTCGTTTGGGATGAGTGTGAGAATGGTCATCAGCTGTGGTCTCATGTTGTGTCTCGCTGGTCCGGCTCTATGGATCATTTGAGTGTAGAGGAGCTTGAATCAGGGAACGGTGATGAAACTCCTGTTTTAGCTCTTCAAGGCTGAATAATGAGCGCCGCTCTCTCTGCTTCAGGTCAGAACATCGCGTTCCCCCCCGTGGCGCTCTGGGTAACCATTGGCCTGGCTGTGTGTCTGCTGGTGCTGCTCGTTGCTCTGGCCGCCGTTTGCCGCAGGAAGATCAAGGAGAGCTGTGAAGAGGCCAGGAGAGAAGGTAGAGTGGAAAAATCTGTTTTCTTATCGTTTCTAATGGGTGAGTTTTGTAATTCTCAGCTCAACACATCAAAATAAAGTTGTTTATTAATCAGTAATCCAATGTGAAACTGGCCCAAAGCAGCTCTGTTAAGCCTCAATACGCCGACCAGGTTTTCCAAAACATGCTTGTTGATGATGTTGCGTACGTTTTCATGTGAGCATCAGTGACATCAGTAAAAAACAGGAAATATCAATTCACCCATTCACAGCCCGGTGATGATGAGCTACACTGTAGCCACAGCGACCCTGGGGTGCGCTGACAGAGGTGCCACCGGTCCCTCCGACCAGTACCAGCAGGCAGGTCGGGATAATGCTTGGCACATTCACTTTCCGCTTGGTGATGCGGCTCGCGGATGGAACGCGCTTCACAACTCGCAGCGTTTATGGTTCGTGCGGCTCGTCTCTGCGGTGAGCCAATATTCTCCCAAACTGTAGGGGGCAGCATGGAGCTCTACGGCATGCAGCCAACACTACACCATAGTAGAAGTAGAAATTACTGTTTACAACATGGCATTCCAGCATTTTTAACAGCGTCCTCGTCTTTTCCGACAGTGCGAGCTATTTCTCTCCAAGAATTATTAACAACATGTTGATCACGGTGATCTCTGAGAGCTGAATCATACACATGTCTGTATTTACCAACCTCTGCCATTCTAGTTCTTGCCAGTCCGCCATGTTTTTCCGCGTCCGATCGTCCGTGTGGTTAGAGAATTTCCTAGGTGCGCGGTGCGGGAAGTTTGGGCCGTGCGGAAGCGCGGTGGAGGGGCGTGGTCTTTAAAATGACGCAACTTTTGCGGGCGGAGCCGTGCGGACCTCGCGGACGCGTCAAGCATAAACCAACTATAAGTGTCTCACCTAAGGACACAAGGACAGACTGAGTGGGGCTCAAACCTGCAACCTTCAGATTACAGGGCGAGCACTTGAAATAACTAAAACAGGAAAAGGAGAAACCTCAGCTGTCCGAGCAGAAGAGCAGGAACAACCACCTCAGCGTTCTGCTGAAGCCTCTTCTTGCATGATGTTTATTACTGGGGTCTGAAACGGTGACGTGTGGTCAGGAGAGGCACCGCTTCTCTAGTAAAATACTAATAATGATCTAATAGGAGTCGGTTTTTCCACTGCCGGGATGATTTAATCGTGTTTGTGGTGAAAGTCGCTGAATTCACCTGTTTCCTGATCAAACATGCGTGCGGAAGCACGAGGAGCGACAGACGAGCGTCTTCCTATTCGCCCCACACACGCTGATTCAGGCGGCACACGTGCACCCGCTCCCTGTGTCCAGTGTGTGTGGCGTGGCGCCCTCTGGAGGCAGAGAAGAGAGCTGCCTCTGTTCTCACAGAGCCGCGCCTCACACACTCATTGAAACAGGAAGTTAGCGCGTGCTCAGTGCTGTCTGTCTTTATATCTGACGTATTATTTCACATGTGCTGCTCTCGATGACGTTCTACTCTGTCTGATGTATTTAATGACGTTTTGTGACAAATTTAGTCTTCTGAGCAGCCATAAACACAGTGAAAGCGCAGTACCCCTGCCTCCCTGACAGGGGCGATGCTGAGCCCCATAGACACTGGTGCACACTGGCTGCTCGTACGGGGCGGGGGTGTGGAGCCGTCAGGTCCGTAAGGGGGAACTAGCTTAAATTTGCTCTGACTAAATGGAAGATTTATGGCTCAAAACTGAAGGATTGATTCAAATTGAATTTTCAGTCAGAACAGGGATGGTACAGCGCGGCCAGAGCCAATCCGAAGAGCAGCTCAGGAGGGGAACGGAAGACCACCTAGAGAAACAACAGCTGGCATGTGGGACACATTTCTGACGGAGAGGAGCATCATTACTCGGCTTTAGTAATTAGCGTAGCGGAATAGCCGAGTGTCGCCGCAAGTGCAGGAAGGAAAACTTTTGAAATGAGAGAAACTGCAAAGCCACCAGCTCTGCTGTAATGAGTTCTGCTCAGAGTGGAGAAGACATTTAAATAAAGGTCAGCCAGAGTCTGCACCAGGGCCCAGAGGTTTAAAATAAATATGGAGGTGACACAGACTCCGAGGGAAGAGTAAATAGCTGCACGGAGCGTATGAAATCAAACGAAATGGAAAGAGAAAAATATAATGCAGTTCCTCCCCGAGGGAAGGACCTCCAAGGTTTGCAGGCTCCTTTTCTTCAGCGGACTGGATGAGGAGGTGCTCGTCTCGCCTGCAGCCCTAACACTGAAGGCAGGATTCATTATGAGGTCATCTACTGTCCCTCCCGCCTTATTGAAATGTTAAATCTTATTCAGTTCCCCGCCAGCAGCATTCCAGGAGTCCTCAGGGATTTCCAGGCCGAGTCCAAGCCCGAACACTGACGTCTTCACAAATCAAGCAGACTATAATCCGTCTGATAGACTGATGGTGCAGGAAAATAGCAGTGAAGAGGGCCTAAGACCGCCCTGCTGGGCTCACACCCTGAGCCGTTCGGGATGTGGTCGTCTCGTCTTTTATTGGTGTTCTGGCCTCGGCCGTCTGAGCAGCACGGGCAGAAGGGTTAGTAAAAGTGAAGAAGGGGGTAAGTCATCTTTCTTCCTTGTCATAACGTACGTGGAGCCCGGGAATGTGTAACCCACCAGAGCCGAGCGGCTGGTGGAGACGCCCAAGCCCAGAGGGAAGGCTTCGCTCGCTCACATGCTGCATTTCCATCATTCATCCCCGTTTGTTCTTCTTTACATAACGATGATGTAAAAAGGCTCCGTTTGTAACGGATGCTTTCAGTGACCCATCCAGAACCAGTGATCCATTCCTCCAGACCTGCTTTCACATTCACACAAGCATGTGATTTAATCAGACCTTCTCCTGGGAGCGGGCGTCGTCGACGTGGGACACATTTCCTCTGAGCGAGGGCAGGAAGTCATGAGGGAGGCGGTGCTTTCCCACTGGGCTTTCACCAGTGAGGTGCACATGGTCTACAGAGGTTAACCTTAAATATGGCTCATCCCGCCAAATCGATCATCGACCCGTTCTCTGTGCACGCACGTAAAGTAACTGACAGGATTGATGTTACTCTAGTGTTTAGAAAGAAAACACTCATAAAAGCAAATGTTACTGGAACCCTGATAGATGGTTTTAATAAAACGTTGATTTTTCTGCTGCACAAATGCAGAAGTGGTAATGGCATATGTCCTAAAACACATAATGATGCCACAGATCCACGTATTTCACAGCTTTACAACCCCTTCAGTTCCTACATTTCAGTCCCTCGTGATGTCACAGCTGTGTTTGAGGATGTTCTGTTCACGGAGCGGTAGCATTCTCCGGGCTTCGATGAGCAGCTGCTTCGGTCCCCAGACTCTGCTGCCTTCTCCTCTCACCTCCACACAACGGTAATGCAGCCAGTGGGGTTTAAGTCACATCCCTCCATGTTTAAGGGAGGCAGCTCTCCGGGTGCCCTCGTGTTCACCCCGACCTTAAGGTGCCTCACTTTTCTATCAGAGCCCCCACCCCCAAGGTATTCCCACCTCTGCCACATTGCTGGGGATGGTTGGTGGAGTGGAAAAGCTTTCACTCGTCTCTATTAACTTCACTTTGCAATTCCCAAAATGTAAAAAAGTGTAATCATCACATTTCCAACGCGCTTTTCGGGACTTTGTCCCCAAAAGGTGAAAACATTTTCACCTTCAGCCTAAATCCTGGAGGTACCGTGACTGTTTTTGGTTGATCTGACAGGTAATCAGATTTAAAGTGCTGCATCCACAGAACACGATGTGTTTAAAAGTAATGATGGTGCTGTGGGAGAGAAGCAGTGTGAATCCTGAAACGCTGCACGTTCTGCTGCGTACTAATGAAGATATTTTTCCCAATATCCTGAGAGGATTACTGTCAAAGTCGAGGAAAACTGTGCCAACATGCTGCAATGTAAACATGTACATTGTTCCCTCGTTGTTAGGTTTTCTCAGTAATTAGCTCATCCTCTAACATCGACGGATGAGTGGGAATTTTGAGGCTGATGGAAACACGTTAGAGGATCCATGTTTGCTCTGCAACTCTTTCAGTGCACCACGCTGAAAACAGCTGGAGCCTAATGTGATTAGTGTGATTGTGAAAGTGCTACAGAAGGTTAAAGGGCATGGTGTGTGTGTGTGTGTGTGTGTGTGTGTGTGTGTGTGTGTGTGTGTGTGTGTGTGTGTGTGTGTGTGTGTGTAGGTGTGTGTGTGTGTGTGTGTGTGTGTGTGTGTGTGTGTGTGTGTGTGTGTGTGTGTGTGTGTGTGTGTGTGTGTGTGTGTGTGGAGCACATACAACCCTTTCCTCACAGTTTGTCCTCTGAGCTGTGAAGGATTCACTCGCTTCCATTGAAGTGACACGTTGTTGAGACTCCTGCTGATAATTACATCCGTTTCTGCTCACAGCTGAAGAGGCCAAGGAGCTGGAGGAGGAATCAAAGACAGGTCGGTCAACACACACACACACACACACACACACACACACACACACACACACACACACACACACACACACACACACACACACACACACACACACACAAACACACACACACACAAACGTGTCATTTTGTTGTAGTAAGTTTCCCCTTTAAATTGGTAAAGTATTTTTACGTCATCCTAGATGTCTCTAACATCAGAAACTGTCTCTAGGTAGGGTTTGATGTAGGGGACAAGGCAGAGAAGTTAGGCGCCCAACCCATAACTGGAGAGTTGCTCAGGTTTTTGCAGCCGTTGTGCCCTTGGGCAAGACACTTAACCTCCCACCTGCTGGTGGTGATCAGAGGGACTTGTAATGCCTGAGCTCGACAGCCACACCAAACCATAATATATAGCTCATTTAAAATGCAGCGTGGGTCAATAACAGCAAATAAAACATTAGGAATGCTACGAACAGTAAAACAACAATACACTAAAACTGTCTAAAGACCAAGTCGTAGAAGTGGGTCTTTAAACGACATTTAACAACCGCCAATGATGGAGCCTGTCCGACTATGATAGGTAGAGAGTTCCACAGCTTTGGGGCAGCATGTGCAAATGTTCATTACCCTGTGATTTGCAACGCACCCGGGGATTTGTAACGCCCCCGGGGATTTGTAGCGCACCCGGGGATTTGTAACGCATCATGGGATTTGTAGCGCACCCGGGGATTTGTAACGCCCCCGGGGATTTGTAGTGCACCCGGGGATTTGTAACGCATCATGGGATTTGTAGCGCACCCGGGGATTTGTGACACACCCGGGGACTTGTAGCGCACCCGGGGATTTGTGACACACCCGGGGACTTGTAGCGCACCCGGGGATTTGTAGCGCACCCGGGGATTTGTGACACACCCGGGGATTTGTAGCGCACCCGGGGATTTGTGACACACCCGGGGATTTGTAACGCCCCCGGGGATTTGTGACACACCCGGGGATTTGTAACGCCCCCGGGGATTTGTGACACACCCGGGGACTTGTAACGCACCCGGGGATTTGTAACGCATCATGGGATTTGTGACACACCCGGGGATTTGTAACGCCCCCGGGGATTTGTGACACACCCGGGGATTTGTGACACACCCTGGGATTTGTAAACGCACCCGGGGATTTTTAACGCATTGTGGGATTTGTGATACACCCGGGGATTTGTAACACCCCAGGGGATTCGTAGCGCACCCGGGGATTTGTGACACACCCGGGGATTTGTAACACACCCGGGGATTTGTAACGCATCATGGGATTTGTGACACACCTGGGGATTTGTAACGCCCCCGGGGATTTGTGACACACCCTGGGATTTGTAACGCCCCCGGGGATTTGTGACACACCTGGGGATTTGTAAACGCACCCGGGGATTTTTAACGCATTGTGGGATTTGTGACACACCTGGGGATTTGTAACACACCCGGGGATTTGTAACACATAGTGGGATTTGTGACACACCTGGGGATTTGTAACGCCCCCGGGGATTTGTGACATACCCGGGGATTTGTAACGCACCCGGGGATTTGTAACACCCCCGGGGATTTGTAACACACCCGGGGATTTGTAACGCATCATGGGATTTGTGACACACCTGGGGATTTGTAACACACCCGGGGATTTGTAACGCATAGTGGGATTTGTGACACACCCAGGGATTTGTAACGCCCCCGGGGATTTGTGACACACCTGCGGATTTGTAACGCCCCCGGGGATTTGAAACGCACCCGGGGATTTGAAATGCATCGTGGGATTTGTAACGCCCCCGGGGATTTGTAACACACCCGGGGATTTGTAACGCACTCGGGGATTTGTAACACCCCCGGGGATTTGAAACGCCTCCGGGGATTTGAAACGCATTGTGGGATTTGTGACACACCCGGGGATTTGTAACCCACCCGGGGATTTGTAACGCATCGTGGGATTTGTGACACACCCGGGGATTTGTAACGCCCCCGTGGATTTGTGACACACCTGGAGATTTGTAACGCCCCCGGGGATTTGAAACGTACCCGGGGATTTGAAACGCATCGTGGGATTTGTAACGCCCCCAGGGATTTTTAACGCCCCCGGGGATTTGTGACACACCCGGGGATTTGTGACACACCCAGGGATTTGTAACGCCCCCAGGGATTTGTGACACACCCGGGGATTTGTAAACGCACCCGGGGATTTTAAACGCATCGTGGGATTTGTGACACACACAGGGATTTGTAATGCCCCCGGGGATTTGTTACGCCCCCAGGGATTTGTGACACACCCGGGGATTTGTAATGCCCCCGGAGATTTGTAACGCACCCTGGGATTTGAAACGCATCTTGGGATTTGTGACACACCCAGGGATTTGTAATGCTCCCGGGGATTTGTAACGCCCCCGGGGATTTGTAAAGCATCGTGGGATTTAGGACACAACCGGGGATTTGTAATGCCCCCAGGGATTTTTAACGCACCCGGGGATTGTGACACATCTGGGGATTTGTGACGCACCCGGGGATTTGTGACGCACCCGTTGATTTGTAATGCACCTGGGGATTTGTAACGCACCCGGATATATGTAACGCACCCAGGGATTTGTGACACTCCCGGGGATTTGTGACACACCTGGGGAGTGCCTTGTTCACGTCTGTGTAACAAAGGAAGAAAGAACCAAGAATAAAAAGGTGAAAAGTAAACAAAATGAGCAAATTTGAGGAGTCGCACAAACGTAAAAGAAACCTTAGTTTGCTGCATTAACGAGTTTCCACCAGCTTTGTTCAAATACCAGGTGTGTTTCAGGTTGAAACAGCGCTAACTCAGGCCAGCTGAGCCAAGAGAGCAGATACCACGTCCTGAATCATCCTGCTTAAACAGACGAGACCAGTGTTGGGAGTAACGTCGTTTAAATATAACGGCGTTACTAACGGCGTTCTTTTTTAGGTAACGGAATAATCTAATTAATTACTTTTCCCGCCGTTGCAACGCCGTTACCGTTACTGGGGACGGAAGGTTGTGCGTTACTATGTGCTTGTCGAACGTTGAGCAACAGCGTGAGGCTATCTGACCACCACACTTCAGCTGCAGCCAGGGAGAGAGAGTTGTCGGTAACACACTTACAAACACGATGATGATTGGCCGGGTGGGCGGAGACACTCAGTGTTCTCACTGTCACTGCCTGCTGTAGACACAACAGAGCAGTGATGGGAATAACGCCGTTTAAAATAACCGCGTTACTAAAAATAATTATTTCAGTAAAGAGCAAACTAATTAATTACCGCCTTCTTTTAACAAAACAATCGTTTCTGTTACTGATAAGGAAATGCGTGCGTTAAGCAGCGCGGTGTGTTGAAGCTGTCATCAGCTGATCAGGAGCTAAAGAGGTAGATGTTTTAATCCAAGTGCATCACGGCCGTGAAGAACGAGGAAGACGTGATGAATATCTACGGCTGCAGACCCGCGTCCTTCTTGGCGTGACAGCGGGACGTCCGGAAGGTCCGCTCACCTGTTCACCGCTCAGACGTCCTGATCTTCTACCTTCCTAGATCATCCAGCTGTAACCTGTTTCTGATCATGTCTTTAGTCCCGCTGTAACACTGATGCATCAGTCTCAGACGTCATGGAGCTCAGGTGTTATTAGAACTACCTGTGTGTGTTTACCACCCAGCTTCAGCTCTTCTGTGGTTGGGTCTGACCCAGGTTAGTAAATGTAAGTCCTCCATCAGGCTTGTGCCTCTTCTAGTGTCATTTTAAAGGGTTTTATTTATTTATTTATTTATTTATTTAACCATTACTAGATTACCAGCAACAGAAATGCTACTAACAACACACAATTATGTGAAGCTGGAAAAATTAAAATACTGTGCAAACTTACATTCATTTCTGTAATTTAACTAGACTGAGAGACCATTTAAAGGCTCGGGAACCTTTACAGGTGTTTCTATTTGCAATTATACATTTTGGCTGATTGGGGTCTTGTTAAATATCACACAGTGACCTTTTAATAGTCTAGATAAGTGTAATGTTCCTGTTAGTAGTTCCTCCTGTTAAGTGCTTATTAATTTAAATTACTCAGGTTTATAAAAAACATTTGGACATACATTTTATTATGTTCCAGTCATTAGTCATTTATATTTCACTATTGTAGTCATTTATAGTAAATTAAGTTCAATTAACCCATTTTTCTTGCATTCTTTAATGACAAAAAGTAACTAAGTAGTTATTTTTTCTTGGTAATTAGTTACTTTTATAATCTCGTAACTCAGTTAGTAACTGAGTTACTTTTTGACAAAGTAATTAGTAACTATAACTAATTAATTTTTTAAAGTTACTTTCCCAACACTGGACGAGTCACAGAGACATGTGTTGGGGTCCTGCCCTCATGAGAAAATTACTATGCAGTATTTTCTCCAAAGGACTGTGCCATCTACGCCCTGAAGCGTAGACAATAAAGCATGTTAATATCAGCGCCAGCAGGGACTCCATGTCCCATGATCCTCTGCAGCCGGCAGCAGCTTGATGATGTCATCAAGTGACGCCAAGTCTGACACGCCCCCGGTGGATACCGGCCCCTACAGAGACCGCCCGCTGGACGAGTCTATAAAGCCGAGGCGCAGAACGGAACTCTTTCTCTCCCCTGTCCAGTTCACCTGGTGTAAGGAGACCCCCGCCTCTGCTCCTGCCGCTCCGGACGGCGAGTGTGTGAGGCCTAGCTGCTGGGATCAACGGACCAACGCCATCTGATCTGCTCAGCCCCGGACACAGAGGGACGCCTAGAGGGACGCCTTGTGTCCGTTCGTTCAAGATTTTTCTTTTTTTTCCCTCTCTTTTCTCTCCTGCTTCTCTAATAGTCCAAAACAAGCGGTCGACCACGTGACTGCTTTAAAATAATAGACGGTCTCTCTCTTCCGTACTAAAAACGCCAACAGACCATCTCGAAGTAAGCTCTGTTTCTCTTATTGTTTTTAATATCTAAGTTTGTTTATGCTGTGGCCAGGCCAGACAGACTGTTTAGATATTTAATTTGCCTTCATGACTGATCTGTCGTTGTTTTTTCTTGAGCTTCGTGAAGCGATTTGAAGTGTTTTGATTAAGTTTACTGTGAACATTGCTCACACCGTCAAATACGCGTCTGATCAGGGGCCCACGCCCGCTGATTATACGTGTTTTGGAAGAGAGGCTAAATTACACACACACACACACCTAGTTTCGATAATTTGTTCAACCAAACAAAGGATCCGCCATTTTGTTTTTCAAAACTCCCTCCAGTTTGGTAATCAGCCTATCTCTGTCTGATTACATCATCAAGCAACCCCACCTTTGCTTGATTACATCACCATCTCATCCCACCAGTCTGATTAGATTGTTACTTCACAGTATCACTCCATTGTTTCCTTGCTTGTTGTTTGTTTGATAAAACCAGTTGGTTGACGTGTTGATTGGCTAGCGCCTTGGAGGAGCTGAGGTGGTTATATTAGTTAATAAAAGTTATCGCCAATTAAGTTTTGTCTCAAGTGAATTTGTCTGTGTTGGATAGGATATGACCGCCGCTCGTTAAAATAATTTTACGAACTTTAGACAGACTGATAGAGGTTTGGGTTCATTCTTCCCCTATTAAAGGGGTGGTGCCCTGAGGCATATCCACGGATATCCTAATTAAGTAATAGAATCGATAAATATTTTCATATTTACGAATTTTATTGATGAATCCAAAGGGTAACTTACAAACTATTTGTTGGCTAATAACCACAACACATGGAAATCAGAGCTTCTAATGACGTTCTTCTATCAGACACCTACCCTCTTCAGCATGCTCCACGTCTAATTTACCTCTCAGATCCAAAGCAGGTGGTTGCTCCAGAGCCAGGACTGCTGAGCAGTGTGCTGCTGCTGATCCAGGACACAGTAGTGCTTGGTGGGCGTCTTTTTTGTGTGATTAAGTTGATTGTGATATTTTGCTTAGTAGAAATATGACCTTTTGAGTTCAGAATTAATTTTTCCATTAGCACTCAGGGCAAGCTTCTTCTGCATTACCAGCTTCAGTGACTTCCCTCACAGTCCTCCCTCAAGCTTTAATGTCATTAGAGTTATTAATTTAACTGACTTTTTATTCTGATTGAATTATTTAGCCTTCCAATGAACGCCGACGTTAATACCATGTGATTTTAATAAGCAGAGAGGTGAAGGAGAGTCTCTGAGTGAAGGGGCGATGGTTTTTATTCCCTATTCCCTTTCTCATGAATGTTTCAGTAAATGTGTGCAGCCGAGAGCGAGGTCAGCCTTCCCACAGCTAGCATGGCTTCACAGTTCAGCTTTGGCTAAAGGGCTGGGAAGTGGTGCCTGCACGCAGAAACATGCAGCCTCTCCGCTCTTCATCATCGTTGGTGCACCTGGAGGAACCAGGTGGACATTCTGGGCGGTGAGCTTGTGAAGTCAAGCTAATGACTCCGGCTCATGAGATCCCTTTCTTAGCACCGCAGACAGGCAGCTTTGTTTGGCCATCTGGCTTCGATTGCGCTGACAAAGCCAGAGGTTCCTGCACGAGACAAAAGAGCTAAAATGAGCCTCGCTTTAATAAACCAGGATGATGGGGAGCTACGCCTGTGTGTTATCTTAATGAGCTGTCCAGGGGAGCGCGTGCCTTCCCTTTCAAAGCCAGCCTGATTGGAACAATAAGCAGTGATAACTAGGGACCTGTGCCCATTCATTTGCTGTGGGATGGGATTGCTTTGTTGCATTTACTGCAGAAGCAAATCATGTTTAACAAACAGTGTGGCTCAAATTCTGAGTATATCTGTGGCGGCTGAAGCCAACAGCAACACTTCCCCTGCTCACAAGCACACAGTAGACGAGCTGGAGTCAGACGGATGCTTTGTCCACTGATGCAGAGACACGCCGTTAGTGGTTCAGGTCACCGTTGTCCTTTTAAAGATACGTCCAGTAACCTGAGCAGAATGTGTTGTTAAGAAGAGGCCATCGTCAGGGATGCAACGCTCTTGTGACCCAGTTCCTTCACCGACACCAAATCATTGGTAAAAGAGCAATTTAACACACCTTCTGCAAAGAGAGCAGGGTGTTCAGAACAGTTTTATTAATCCGTTTTAACCGAGACAAGCTGCTCTGGAGTGGAAGGTTGGAGAATATCGAGCTGTGTCCAGCTGTGGTTCTGAAGTCACGCTGCAGCGCCAGTAGCTCATCAGTCTGGGTTTGGCTAGTCAGACGTCATAAACAAGTTTATAAGGGAACACACACACACACACACACACACACACACACACACACACACACACACACACACACACACGTGTGTAATCAATGTTTGCTCTACAGAGAGAAACAACAGAGGTGAAAGGAAGCCCGGATGTTTACTGCAAAGGCGACACCACACTGCTGCTGGTGGTGCTGCAGCCTCTGTCAGTGCTCTCCAGGGCAGCTGTGGCTGCTTGGTGGATGACTGTGCTGTAAAGCGCCTTGGGGGGTTGTAGAAACCTAAGAAGGCGCTACACAAAAACAGACCATTTACCATTCCGAAGTTTTCCATGTGGGGTGGTGGGGGTGGTGTTTGACATCTCGCGTCTATGCTAGGGCTGCAACAACCAATCGGTAAAATCGATAAAGATCTTTTTTTGCGTTGCATAACCTTTATTTAGCATCTCATGTTCAGGAGTCAGCAGAGCGGACCGAGGCAGATCAGAACAAGAGAGAAAGCCGGTGTTCTGATGAGGAACGACACACTTAGAACAGTAAGGTGCTTACTGACGCACCGTGAGCTGGTGGAGGTGGGGTGGAGGAAAACAGAAACCAGCAACGGTTTGGGATCTGAAGTGTAACTGCGGGCAGACTAGCTAATGCTAGCAGGTAGCACGCTTACAGTCAAGCGGGTTCAGAAAAAACACGATGGTCGTGAAACTAAGAACATCTAAACTAAAAGTCCTCACCGTCCTGTTTGTTCTTAGCTAACGGCAGCGCTACGCAGCGGAACCGCTGCTGTTAGGTTAGCCTGCTCTGCTAAACACCGCTGCAGGTCTATGGCAAGCCACTGTAGCATAGTTACATCCCCGACAGGTGGTGTTAAAACGTGAAAGAGGGGATAACAGCAAACATGCTAGTGGGTTTAAATGGGTTTAAGCGAGCAAACAGATGGAGATGGATAAATTGGAAAGATACGGTATTCGAGGGAACGCTGGTAACTGGTTAAAAAGTTACTTAATGGGTCGGGAACAATATGTCAGCATAGGGCATTACCATTCAGAGAAACTTGGTATTACATGGGGTGTTCCCCAAGGGTCAGTGTTGGGACCAAAACTTTTCAATGTATATATAAATGATATTTTTGATGTTTCTCAAGTACTTAAGCTCATACTGTTCGCAGATGACACGAACATATTCTTCAGTAGCGATGATTATACTGATCTTGTAATGACCGTAAACAGGGAGCTAAAATTAATAAAAAAAATGGATGGATATAAATAAATTATCACTAAATAAAAAACTAAAGCAATGGTTTTTGGTAATTTAAAATATAATATGGAATTACCAATTAACATTGATGTTGTACCAATTGATAATGTGAGTGAAAACAAATTTTTGGGAGTCGTAATTGATAACAAAATTTCATGGAAACCCCACGTTGGACACAAAAAACCAACATTTCCAGAAGCCTCGCAGTTTTGAACAAAGTGAACCATACCTTGATAAAGATGCACTTCGTACTCTGTACTGTTCCCTGGTTCTTCCATATTTTACATATTGTGTGGAAGTGTGGGGAAACACATATAAAAATACAACTAATCCATTAGTCACAGTACAGAAACGAGCACTTGGTATTATTCACAAGGCTGGTTATCCAGATCATACTCACAAATTCTTTCTTCAAGCAAACTTACTAAAATTCCAGGATCTGGTTAATTACAATACATCCATAATCTTATACAAAGCCTTTAATAAACTTCTACCTGCAAATTTACAAACTATATTTCAAATGCGAGAAAGTGTTTATAATGTGAGAGGCCTTGGAGAATTCAAATTACCCAGAGCTCGAACAACCCGCAAAGGTTTTTGTGTGTCTGTATGTGGTGTGACAATCTGGAACCGTCTGAGTTTACAACCGAAACAATGCAAAAACATTCATAGATTTAAATTCCTCTACAAACAGTTGGTCTGGTCACAGTGTGCTCTGTAATGTCTGTTCTCCTACCGCTGCTGGTATGGATACCAACAAATAAATAAATATATAAATAAATAAAAGTGTGTGCGTATGTATGTACATATATGTACATGTGTGTGTAGATACATATGTATGTATGTATATGTATGTGTGTGTGTTACTATGTAATTATTATGGCCTGTTTACCTGCGGTAACGCAATTTATAATGAATATATTCTGTATTCAGTTATGAAGGTTCTATTGTTGTTTGCGAGCTGCTGTTGAGATGTTTGCATGTGCCCGGAGCTGTTGATGGGTTTGATGGGTTGTTTGGTTTGCTACGATGAGCGTAGCTGCGGGAAGCTTATTGTAATTTTAGTTGATGAGTGAGTAGAGGGGTGGGATTTAATAAGTTTTCTTCGTCCCACTCCTTTTCAGGTAATTTTGGTTTCTTGTTTTTGTGCACTTTATGTTGTATGTATGTATTTTGTTGTGCCTGAAATGAACAAATAAAAAAAATTGAGTGTAGATTTGCTCTGCTTATCCTCTGAGCCTTAAACGGCCCTCTACATACAAATCTGGCCTACCGACGTGATATGTACCCTTCATCTTTCACGATATGCGGTACAGCTCTGCTAGCGGCTCCCAGGTCACTGACTGTGACGGCTGCGGTCTGGCCTCCTCCATTCCTGCTCCCATTTGATGTAACTTCAGCGTACTCAACTCACACACACACACACACACACACACACACACACACACACACACACACACACACACACACACACACACACACACACACACACACACACACACACACACACACACACACACACACACACACACACACACACAACTCTACCTACCTTCAGCATCCGACGGTAGCTCAGCTAAAGCTCTCATCTTATGTCTGACACCACGTTCTCCACCAACGGCTGCCCGGCGCTTACTCGTCTGAGTAAAGATATGTAACTAGAGCATTGATGCTGCCTTCATTATTACATGTGGGTCACTGGAAATCTCGAAGAGCACTAATTCAAAAGCTCCCAGAACACCGTTGCTAGTAGTCGTAACGCAGCCGTCCTGCTGGCTCGGCAGCAAACACAAAGTCTGTTTTTAGGTGAAACTCAAGAGGATTGGTTTCTGGGCCGAACAACACCGACTGGGTCGTATTTTACTACAAACTACAGGATGTGTGCAGCATAATGAAACCATGTGGCTCATTTACAAACACTTGTGCTGTTTTTATGCTGTATGAGTTCAGTGAAGCTCACTGAGAAGGCGATGCATCTGCAGCCCTCTGAGGCTATCGGCTTCTCCAGAAGGACAGGCCAACAGATTAATGTTACAAGAAGAAAAACATAGCACCCCCTATAAATCATTTGGAATAATGAGCACTGTCACGGTTAATAAAAGCAGCTAAACTACATCACATCAACAGGCCGGGTCCACAGCCTGCTTGTTTGCATATTAGACAAAACCATGTGGAGTGTTTTGGAGGGAGGACAGGTATACCTCTGAAGCAACGGCAATCTGTTTTCTGGGAAGAATCCCCTGTACCGGCTCCATTATCTTCCTGCCTTACAACACCACTACCATCACCCACCCCCCCACCCCCCCCCTCAACCCCCCTTCTGTCATGTAATCCATGCTCCTTTGACAGCACAGCCAGGGCCCGGTGGGAGAGCGCCTATCCATCTCACTTCCCCAATCTGCCTCCCCTGTTTGGTTCCACATGGGCACTCAGCTGCTGTGACTAATTAAATAAAGCGCGGCGCCCTCTGCTTCCTGTTAGCCATGGCGAGGTTGGTGTGCAGAGATGGAGCCGTGGACGGGGAGGTGTGCAGAAGAAGAAGGAGACAGAATGAGAGCTGCAAAGCCTACGCGACAGTACCGGTGTCCGGCTCGTCTTGGTTTCATGTTTTTGACTCGAGTCTTCATCCTGCTTTGTTCTCTCCCACAGCCATGACCCCGTTGAAGAGCTAAGGCCAGGACACGAGGTAAGAGTGATTTTAATATAAATATAGCTGTAAGTAACAATAAGTGCTGCTCAGGTGTCCTAGATTTTCTCCCCATCATAAAATGTCTGTAAACTCAGCGAAATGTTCATGAAAGCTGCTGTTCTGTCCACTGGGGAGGATTGGTCAGCGCTGCTGTGATCAGGCTGGGCTGCATTTACTGGGCAGAGAGTAAGAAATATGAAAACCCTGACGTTCTGATGCCAGGAGCTACACGCTGACTGGCTGATCTGACTCATCTATTAACATTATCTGTTCATGCAGACGTTGTAGCTCGCTCAGAGCCACAATAAGAGCCTCCCTCATTAATGCTAAACAGCTCAGAAGTGAGTCCAACAGACGTCTTTACGTGTGGAAAGTCAGCTAAAAGGAAAACTTGCAGCAGAAGATTCCCACGGCCTGAAACGGGAACGTCTGGTTACGTCCATGATCAGCTGCCAGGTTTGACTCGTCAGCGTGAAACAACTCGAGCCTTTTTGACCCCGTCTGGCCACCACATCAACATTTTCTGGAGGCGCCCCTGATGTTAACATAAGTGAAACAAGCCTCTCTCTTTACTTTTACAGCAGGAGATGCAAACTCCCACACAGCTTCTGTTGTAGCATTTATAACGCAGAACGCTTATTAAAGGCATCCGTGTGGAGCAACCTCACAGGAATCGGTTATCATTGATCAGCGTTTCATTAGATAAGGTCTTCCCAAAAAGAAAGCATTCAGGGTAAAGATGAAGGAGTCTAGTAAACATTCTCAGGGTTTTAATGCTGAAATTAATCAGAAACACCACTAATGCAGGTTTTCTACTAGAGCCAGGTTTGCAGAGAAGCCAAACGCGGGCAGATTGGGGAAACTCAGAGGATCTGAGCAACAAACTACTGAAGGACGTGTTTAAAAACAGATTCTGTTATTATGTTTCAGGTGATTAGCTCTGTTATACTTTAGAGGAGGGAGATGCATTCATGTTCTCCACACAGACAGCAGATGTATAGGTTCTCTGTTTTCTGATGCTCCCCGTCTTGTTTTAAAGTGTTTATGTAGTTAATGTTCTGCTTCCTCACTATCGTCTTCATCAAAGCAACAGAAATCAGCTTGCATTGATTCAGAAAAAAAGTAAAAACACCTCGTTTTGCTCATAAAGAAGCAAATAAACCTTTTGAATTTCAGGGGGTATAAACAAAGTCGTCATGCGCCCAAACGTACACAGCAGATGCACTTGCCTCCAACAGGGCCCATCAGATTGTTTTGTGAGCAGTTTAGAGTCCATGTGGACTATTCTATTCATCCCTAAGCAGTTTTGGTCCTGTTTTCTTTGTGGGGGGTGTAATTAGTTTGCAGAAATGGGTGGCAGGTGTTCTGATAACATCCATGTAAAATCAAAGATGTATTTTCTGCAGCAGAGGAAGTGCTGCTCGTTCTGCCTGTCAGAGGTGTAAAAAGGTGTTTTTCTTATGTTGGAGCCCATGCTCCTAGCAAACTGCTATCCTGAACACGCTTTCAGCACCACGGACAGCGAACAAGAACATGAGCAAATGCAGCAAACGTTCCTCAAAGGAAAAATAAAAGTAGTGAAGATTCTACCATAAACATGTCTGACAAGCCTGACCACAATCTCGTCTCATCTACTTTTGTTGTTTTTGTGTTACCAGTCATCCAATCAATCAATCAATCAATCAATCAATCAGATTTTATTTATAAAGCATTTTTCAAGCAAAAGGGCGTTACATAATTAAAATAACCCTAAATTCCCATAACAGTTTAAAAGCATTAACTGTCAAACACACACACACACACACACACACACACACACACACACGCCCAATAACACAACTCAACTTTATTTATAAATCGCGCCTTACAGGCAAAAAGATGCCACCAAGGCGCTACACTGATCAAATAAAAACATAAAACATTAAGTCCAGAAACAGATACAGATAAAATACAGTGAGTACACAGATCGCTATAAGTAAAACAATAAAACTAGTTAGAAAGGTTAAAAGACAGATCATAAAAGTAGGTTTTTAGCGTTGCCTTAAAAACCACAACAGAGGTGGAGGCCCTTATGCTGAGAGGAAGCTCGTTCCAAAGCTTAGGACCTGCCACAGCAGTGCACTGCTTCCCGTGTGCACTAAACAATAGAACGGCACCGCAGTGCCATTTGTTGGAATGTAACTCTCACTCGTGGTGCAAAAATCAAAACCAACTAAAAGAGCACAGTCATTTTACTGAATAAACGACTAAAAACATCAAACACAACCTGCAATAAAACCCCAACAAAACGCGTAATAAAGAACATAAAACTGGAAAGCTGGCTACCCATAATGCACTCTGGAGCCGCATGCGGCTCTTTCATCCCTCTGATGATGCGGCTCTCTGCTTGTAAAATAAATAATGAAAATTTCATTAAAATATATTTTATTTGACTGCATTCATTTTTATCTGTATGCCAATACCAAATGTAAAGATAGTCTGCGTACACCTGAACAGGTCCAACGGTTCACAGGTCACCTGCTTGTGTGTCATCAGACATCTCTATAGGAGCTTTCTGAGCTGAAGAGGATGTGAGGTTCTGGACTTTTCCTCAGACAGGCTCACGGATGCGTCGCCACATTAGAGACAGGAACAAGCGCTATTCAGCCAAAGTTTCATCATCAGGAACATTTTCTAAGTGACGAGTCTCTCTGAGAGACCGGGTTTGGGAAACACTCGCTTCAGTGAGAGGAACTTCCCTGCATGGCTCTGGTTCTGCAACGTGCTCCAAGCCCCCGATCTACACATCTTCAACCCGCTGTCCACCTTACGTACGCGCTGACAGCGAGCTGCGCGGAGCTCAGTGTCCAGCTCAGATGTTCTGATGGGAATCTGTTCTTGATTGGTGTAGCTACCTCCGCGATGTGCGTAACGATTAAACTATCAGCGCGTCTGCAGCCCTGAGGCTTCTCCGTCAAAATAAATGATCAAATACGGGAAATATCCAGTCACCGTGAACCCTGTCATGTGACTGTTTTACCTTCTTGATTGTTGCGAACAGGAACATTAAACCTGATCAACACCAGAGCCACGCTCACTACGCTGTTATCTCCATCTCTGTAAATGAGGCAACAACAAATAGATTCAACAATGTTTAATGTAAAGTTCAGTTCAGCACAAAGTTTAACTACAACAATCCAACGAGACAGAGCCTGGATTTGTATTCTGAACAGTTTAAACATGTTTTAAAAGGAGACGTGTGTGACGCGTCACCTGCCCAACATTAAAACCACTAACAGGGTGAAAAATATCTAAGTACTGTCGACACAGACGGGCCACACGTTCTGGGTCATGCTAATACCAACTGTTTTATTTATTATCTTCTGTTGAAAGATAACTTTAAGGTACAGCAGCAACCGGTACTGGCTGCTGTCACCTGTTGTGATTGGTTAAAGCAGCTCTCTGCTGTCTGAGGGTAGGCCCCGCCCACAACGCCGCGGCTGCTGCGGCTCCCAGTGTTTTCTTTACTGTGGGAAACGGGTAGCAATGGCTCTTTGATGGGAAAAGGTTACCGACCCCTGAACTACAGCGTGATCAACAATGGCGGAGGAGAGAGAGGTGCGTTTTCTAGCTGGAATATAGTCACTATTTAGCGTTTGTATCACCTAAAGATGAAAATATTAAGGTTCGTTGTGCTCTGTGCTGGCTCTGTTTTATTTTTTATGAATACTATTTATTTTAAGTGAGGTCAAGAAAGACTGAATATTTTATTTTTGTACAAACATGCATTATGTCAGGCAGCAGGTTTTAAGTTCAACTTAAAATGTAGGAAGGTACGTTGTTGACATTACTGTTAGAAAGCATTTGCAACACCAGTTGTAGTTTTCATGCTGAGGCAGTGGAGAGTGTTTTTGATCGATGCTGAAAGTAACTAATAAAGTAACTCGTAATCTAACTTAGTTACTTTTTTAATGAATGAATCAGTAAAGTCACTAAGTTACTTTTGGAAGGTGTAATCAGTAGTCAGTAATCAGATTACTATTTCAAGGTAACTGTGGCAACACTGCTGGTTCATTTTTTACCTCCTGGTTCATTCATTAAAAATCTTACTTTGTTTATAAACCTGTTTCTTGAATCAAAGCGAAGTGTGTACGATCCCTTAATAATTAAACGAATCCTAGGGTCTTCTAATTAATCACACTAAGACCAAGCAGGGGATATTCTATTTATATGGAGTATCATAGCTTTGGTCACAAGTGGTGGTAATAATAATAATAAATAGCTCTTAAGCAATTTACCCTCTATTATCATTACACTTCCTGTCTCATTGGTTACTTCCTGGTTCCTAACCATGTCTATAAACCTCCTCACATACAAAGCTGTCCACCACCAAGCTTTGTGACTTTCTACAAGATTGGGATCAGAACTTCTACTGGACTTCTGACCATCTCCTCAACATGACTCAGATCCATCAGTGCTCGAGCCTTCAGCTCTAGCTGCTCGGCTCCTAGACTCTGGAATCTCTCCCCCTGAACGTAAAGCAGTCATACTCCATCATCACATTCAAATTAAAACTCAGATCCCACTCTCTCTGGAAGGTGTTCACTACAGCTGTCCTC